ATTGTGTCACATTATATTCAGTGTAGGCGAGGCTTTTCATCCATCGATTGAAAACATGTAACTGTGTAATATTTAGCCAGTTATAATGGCTTTTGAAATTTAATACAAAATAAAAACTGTATACAGAAAAATAAACACAAAGATTTTTTCAAGGATTACGACTTTTTTTTTTTACGAAAGATGGTACTGGGGAGGATCTTTGAGATGTACATATATGTATGATCCCTATAAATCCAGATGCCCCATTTTGTAGTCGTTTCTCTCGGTGGAAATTTAACACTAAATTGAATAAACTGAACCTACTTGCGTATGAAAATGGAGAAAAAAAAATCATATTTAAGAAAAACTTCTATATTTTTTAAAAGGTTTGTGCCGTATTGCATGTTTAAACATATCTCTCTCTCTCTCTCTCTCTTCGTACTTTTTAAAGTACAGTGAATACCCCTCACAAATAATAGTGTACAGAATATTTTTTTGCGATGCTGCATGGGTGATATTTTATCGCTAAAACAATTTTATTAACTGTATGCGCGAATTTTTTTTAGTTTGTTGTTGTTGGTTTTTTTAATTGTAAATTGTTTACAAGGACAGACCGCTGTTTGAGGCCAGAGAGTTAAATGTTTGAAAAATGAAAAAAAAATTACGCCTACTATTATTCCTCTTTTTTTCAAGTTATTACGAAAGAACATCTGTCATGCACTGCTCACGTTAAATGTAGAATATGCATCCACTTACTATACACGTAACTATGTAATTGTTTCATAATGCTTAAATTCTATCAAAATGAAATGTACGTGTATATTTATTCACGTTTAATATGTACTCTATACAGAATGAAAATACAGTAACAATATTTATAAGGGTTGGGTTAAATCATTCACAATTTACTTGGGAAGAGAATAGAGGCATGCAAAGTGAGGACTATTCTATTTCTGATTCTCAGTTTTCAAAGTTCGTATACATGTCCTTGAAAACACTTATTAAAAAAATAAGTATTGAGAAATGTCTTTGACACATTTGATTTTTTTTTAATTTCATGTATTTAATGTCATAAAGCTTTGGTGTGTAGGGAAGACAAAAATATCCTAACAGTATTTGAATTCTCTAAACAATAAGATATAGCAATAAAGTTTTGGGTTTTTAATTTTCTTGATATTAAATTAAGGTTTTAGCCTCTATATTACACGATCTTCTTATCGGTGTAGAGTTTCAGACTATAGCTGGTTTATAAGTAAACGAGTTTGTTGGGGGTATATATATATATATTTTTTTAGAAAAAAAAAATTTCATAGGGAATGCATTCAGAGTGCTTTTATTTTTAATCAATATTTTTAACTTCCTTGCATTCTAAATACATACCAGTATGCAAAATGGAAAATTTATCAATTCATATTTGGAAATAATTTTGATGGCTTCAATACGTCCATTTTCCACTACCTATACTTCACAGTAAATAAACCAAATTTTCAATCAGCGCGTTAATCAATTTTAAAAGTAAGGAATCAACCGCGCACACGTGTACGTGTTGGAGATGACGTTATCTTCAGACAACACAATTTTTTTAAAATGTCTCTTTCTTTAAATAAAAAAAAATACTTTGTCTCAGATTATGCGCTGAAACTGGATCTTCCTCTGTTTATAACGCAGGTGCGATTTACGTCATTGATACAACATAAACCCGCAATTTGTGATAACGTCACGACCATTGTAACGTCATTTACGTGTGACGTTACGTTTTTTGGCAATTCAAAAATTTACGTTGGCAGCGAAAAGGTTAAATGCCGAAATATCTGTTTTAAAAAAATTAAATTGCCTATGATTGTTTCGGTATAATAAAACAGTTATGTAATGTGAACTCGAGAAATAGCAAATTTATGGTTCCGCGAGGGAGAAAACTATTTCCCGAAGCCGAGGTCAATATGAATATTTTTCTGGTGAATAACAAACCATATTCAACACCAAAAGGGTCCATAATTGTATAATCTTACCTGTGCTAAAAGCTCATGACGTGAGGTTTTCTGATATCCCATTGTCTGTTTCCCCTCCTGTGTTTGTAAACTTTCCACATTTTCAACCTCTCAAGAACCGCTGTGCCAATTTTAACCAAACTTGTTCAAGCTCAAGTTCAAGTTCCACTGATAGAAAAAGTATAAAATTTGTAACCATTACATTACCTTCCAATGGATATAATTACTGGAAGTGAAAAACTCAAGCAAAGATTATGTGTGACCTTCAAACTTTAACTTCAGGTCAATGTAGTAAGCTCAAGGTCATTACCAGAAAAAAAAATGTGAAATTCATCTTTGGCCACAGGCGCATCTTATCCACTCTGTTCTCCACTTCACATATAAAGATACATGTGTATAAATTTTTAAATGTGAAGTGGAGAACAAAGTAGATAAGATGCCCCTGTGCTTAGGCCAAAATATTTTTAAATTTATGAAAAGAACATTGGATGACCATATAGTACGTATTTATCAGACAATATGGTGGTGTAATTTTGTGAACTCTATCACAGTTCTATTAATTGACTATAAACACGACATGTAACATTTTGTATTTTTATAAGGGTTAATGCTCTGACTTTGTTTTGACAGATATCTAGAGGCGTGCTGTGCAGCTGTTACGAGGATGAAAATATGGCTACCTCACAGGTTTAATGTTTTCTCAATATACAATTCTTTATTTGACTACCATGTTTAAAAGAAAATACATGAGGTACATTTGTTATAGCTGCAGATCTGTAGCTTTATGGTTTTATATATTTGTCTTTGACCATAAAGCTACAGATCCTGTAGTGCAAAGAAGGTGCAATTTACGGCGCAATATTTTTTGCGCTCTTTTGGGGAGAATTTCTCCACTTTCCATCATTGTTTGATTAAAATTATTTGTTAGATTACTGAAAATTCACTTCCAGCGAGTTTGTTGCCTGTAGAGACACTTATAAATGGTTGGGAGGTAGATAAACTATACACATTGGCTACAGAATGTGTCTAGAATTAGGGGTTAAAAGGTTGTTGATTGAACGATGCTGGAAAGTGGAGAAATTTTCCCCAAAAGAGCGCAAAAAATATTGCGCTGTAAATTGCACCTTTTTTGCACTACAGGATCTGTAGTCTTATGGTCAAAAACAAATATATAAAACCATAATGCTACAGATCTGCAGCTACATTTGTTAATGTACATGTTTTGTTTAGACTGGCAAAAAATGTCCAAAAGTTTATATAAATTTAATTATTATGATTAAGAATAAAAAATAAAAAGAATTAATGTACATAAAACATAAATGTGTACATGTTTATTCTTGTAAGAATATTACGTCTTATTACGTAATTGTCCCTTGTTTTCTCAGCCAAGAAAAAGAAACAAGGTTAACGGAAACCATTCTGTAGTTTTTCCTTGTTTTACCATATACAAGAAATTAGCGTGGTATGTGTATTTCTGTGTTACATATTAACAGAGACCACAAGAGCTAATGCGATAGCAAGATGTCCTTTAGCTGTCTGTCCGTCAACAATTTTTCAAAATGCTACTCTTTCCATGATTTTTTTCTAATTTAAAAAAATCAAGGCACAAGTATAGATTAAGATACTGTAAATGTATTACATTTGTCTGTGTATTCTTTTTAGCGTTTTTGGCGGAAAGAAATATCCGCTAATTCAAGTACAATGCTAAATGTCTGGCATATATATCTATAAAGAAGAACATAAAGATATGCGCTAAATCAAATCCACGCTAACTTGTTCAAAATCTAATTTCCACCAAATATCGTACGTGCTAAAAATAATACATTTATGGTACATAATTCTAGTTGTCAGTTTTTGATTTTTATGAATGGTGTTGCCATGGTTACAGAAATCTGATTGAAATCAGGCACGTAGCATCAATTTTAAAAGTGGGGGGGGGGGGGGGGCAGCCACTGAAATTTATTTTACCAACCTGAAAAATTTTACAAGCAAAAAAATAAAAAAAATAAAGGAAAATTGCCCAACGTCGAAAATCCTATTTCGTAAGGGGGGGGGGGGGTTGAGGCACTTTTTTCGCTACTAATTCCTTTCCATATCCAATTTTTAAGCTTACAATACTATATTTCCTTCATATTACTTCACCTTAGTAAAAGGCGGGGGGGGGGGGGGGCAACCAGCCTTTCAATGCACATTTTCAATAGTAAAAGTAGTGTTGGCAAAAAAAAAGTGGGGGGAGGAAAGGCCACCCCCCCCCCCGTTGCTACATCCAATTTTTAAGCTTACAATACTATATTTCCTTCACCTTAGTAAAAGGTGGGGGGCCATGGAAATACTTTCAATTGCTGCTCCTCCTACACTTTTGATCTGGTTTAACTATAAGTACAAAAGTAGGCTACATGAAGATGAGTACATAGGTATAAGGCTACACTAAGATGATAATCAAAGATAGAAATTTTTCTAGAAAGCTTACTCCTACATGCACTTCAGTTTTTGTCTGCAATATTTCTATGAAAAGAGACTAAATGAAAGATCATTGTTCTGTTTATTGCTGTTGCATATTTTTAAGTCTAACTGCTACATTTCTCTTCCATTTCGATAAATACAAATCAGTAGAGCTACAGTCTCTACAGAGATGTCTAATTATAAATTATAAACTGCTACATTTGATGTCCTCTGTTATAAATACAAACCAGTAGAGCTACAGTCTCGTCATAGACATCTGGTTATATATAAACCCTGTCAAAGCATGCAGTAGATCATATAGCTACATGTATATAGAGTGTGTCATTTTAGAAAATGTATAACTTATACAGAACTATGACTTTATTCATGTAAGAAAGTTAGATTTATTCTCATGATAATTATTTTGTACATTATAAAGTTGAAAAACTGGACAATAAGTTCAATTTAATAGAAATGCAATATTATACAAATAAAAATATATTTTTATTGATCTATAAAAATAGCATTTCTTCCATTACAATCTGTATGTAGTTTTGTTCTATTCAATAATTTGTAAATATTAATTTGTTATACAGGTAATATTGTGAACACTTGGAGGCAGCTATCTATTGAGACATCAAAAGGACTCAGTTCCCAATGTAAAGGTATTTAATATGTGTATATTTATGTATTTCGATTCTTATAAGTTTTTCAATATGTATATACATGTAGTTATGTTTTACTGAATAATTTATAAAATATTGATTTGTTAGACAGGTAATATTGTGAACACTTGAAGACTGCTATATATTGAGACATCAAAAGAACTCAGTTTCCAATGTAAAGGTAATATAAAATTATATATACAGCAAAACTTGTTTAGTATGAACACAGGGATATAGTGAATTCATGGATATAGTGAAGTTATCTTGGATCCCTTAAGCTATATAAATTTAAGGAATTCCTTATACAGATATAGTGAAGTAATTATATTGGTCTCTGTGACTTTGTTATAACCGAGTTTTACTGTAATATTATATATATTATGTTTATATGTGTTTTAATTCTATTTGATGTTAAAGTTTTTTAAACCAGAACATTGAATCAATGATACAAGAGTAAATCATAAATAGAGGCTTGTTATTGATGTAGAAAATTCTAGAACAGTGTTGTAATTTACAGAGAGATCTCCCTGACTGAAATCCACACAGGATTATAAAGTCACAGGAAAAAGAAATACAAGTCTGATGTCAGAGATGTATAGACTGGTGTTACAGAAATCTCTCACCGTGTCTGGGGTTAGTCAGTGTCGTCACATATCCCGTGTGTCATCCGACTGGGTCTGGATCAGTGATTATGAAGGCAATCTCATCTTAACAAACACGACAGGAGACACACTAGATAGTGTGACAGGTTTATATCAATATGGTGGTTATGGATTACATACTGTGACTCGGGATGGTGCTGTGATTTATGTAGACAGTGACGGTAACATCATTAAACTGTCTACAGATAAAGTACAGACCACAGTGATACCATACAAATCACCATGGAGACCACTGTGTGTCTACAGCTCGCCCTCCACTGGAGACCTACTGGTCGGGATGTCTGATGTACTGACAGGCCAGGTAAACCGTTACAATAACACAGGTAAACACATACAGACCATACAGCACGACAACACAGGTCTGGGACTGTATAATGATCCTAGATACATCATAGAGAACCGCAATGGAGATGTTATTGTGTCTGACATTGACCGTGGTGTAGTAGTGACAGACAGTACAGGGAGACATCGCTTCACCTACACAGGTCACCCATCAGGATCACAACTATTACCACGTGGAATCTGTACTGACGCGCTGTCACACATCCTGGTGTGTGATCGTACCACCCACACAGTGCATATCATTGACCAGGACGGTCTCTATCTGACACAGATTGATACAGAACAACACGGGATATACAAACCATGGAGCCTGAGTTATGATTGTGATACACAGCTTCTCTGGGTTGGATCATGGACAAACAACACAGTAAACATTTACAGACTTATCAATGGAGGGGATAATCTGATTGGTGAGTTACATTCTTATATGGTTGTATGATTTATCTAATGATATTCTGTATGTACAGTAAAATAATTTTAACATTAAATCTTTATATACTATCAAATACTTTTTTGTGTAAATACCAAACATTAAAAATAATAAATGTATTAACATTACACATGTTACATGTTTTTTTAATTATAATTTGTTACACAAAGTAACAAGAAATATTTCTAAGATAAAGATTAGATTATCTCTTTATTATTTTAAGTATAAATTGTAGTTTAAGCGATACATTTTGCAAGGCAGGGTTTTCAGCATGTCCAGAGAAAAAAATTGAATCATATTGTTGATAAATGTAAAGTTTTTTGAAACTTTAAAAACATTATCTGGAATTAAATAATCTCCCATCTCCCGTTTAGAACTTAATCAGGTTTGTATTACTGAGGCATATAAACAATATATATTCTCTGTAGATAGAAATTGTTTGTTGATTGAAAGCAGAACACTTCTAACTATAGATATGGTGGGCTGGGCAAAGAGAGATAACTCCAAAATAAAGAACTGTTTTCCTTATCAATTTTTTGAGAATATAAATCACTTGAAAATTAATATGCCATTGGAATTTAAAAAAGAATAATGTATACATATACATGTAATTCCTATATATTACTTATAATATCATTTTAATATGTACTTACATGTAGTATATAAAGCATATAGGTTATGAAAAAATAATATGGTTAACATGGTTAAGAACTAAAAGTTTTGGGCTGAAATCTACTATAAGCGTAGGAATCTTTAAGTCACATGAGTTAAGCCACTGACCTTTTGCTATTTGTTATATGGTTTTTGTCCAGCGTCATTAGTTGTCTATTAACATTTAAATATTTACAGCTTCTTCTCATAAACTGCTGAACAAATTTCAACCAATTTTGACATACATCATCTAGTAGAAGTTATCAAGAAATTGTGAATTCCATGGATATCCCCCACCCAAAGAATCTAAAGATGGGGTTCTAATGATCATAGTGTAACATTGTATAATTTATTTAAAAGTCTTCTCTCTCTCCTGTAAATAAATCAGATTAGCTACATGTACATGATGTAGGTGAAAAATTGAGAAATTTTGTTGCATCAGAGTCAGGGGTTCCTATAGGAAAGGGGGGTCTATTGAATAATTGATTGTTTATTTATTTGAATTTTTTTTTCTCAAAACCTGTATAGCAAGGAAACATATTTACTACAACAAACTATGTGTATAGTAATGATGAGCAATTTCTAGTACTTCTAAAATTGTCAATTGTAAGTTCCAAATTGGCCCAGTTGGGTCAGGGATTCTAGTGTTAAAGTGAGGCTATGTTGACTTTGTAGGGAATTGACTGTACTATTAACTTGAAATGCTATGCTCACTGGCAATTATAGAGTATAAATTTGCTATTAGAAAATTTTTTTACAAGATTTTTGAAATTCTAGATACATCATGTCCATGATCAGATGTTCTTGTTCTACATGTTATAGGGCCGTATTAGTTTGCAGCAAAGGTTAATTAGGTTATTAGCTCACCTGGGCTTTTCTGATCATATTTTGTCTGTGGTCCGTCTTTCTGTCTGTCTGTAGAATTTTCACAGTTTTGACATCTTCTCAAGAACCTCTGGGCCGGTTTAACCAAACTTGCCACAATTCATCATTGGGTGGGTGAATGTGAATCATTTTTGTTCAAATGAATGGCTATATGCCCTAATTAAAACCCTTGAATAATTTTTTTAGGGATAGGTTTATATCACTCATAAAATACTGAATTAACCAAAGTGTTCTGGTGAGCAATGTGGCCCATGGGCCTCTTTTTTCCTAGTGAGGGTCCACACTTTTTTCAAGAAGAGATAATTTACAAATAGTGACAAATTAAGTGAAAATCTTTGCAAGAACCAGTGGGCCCAAAATTTGAAACTTACAGAAAACCTTCTGAACGAAGTGTTGAATCAAGTTTGTTCAAATCATGTTTCCAGGGAGCATTATTGTGACTTTTAAGTTTTTTATCCAACTTTTGGTGTTTTAGATCCAGTAGAGGGATTAAAGACATTCTTGAGAAAGGAGAAGACAACTGTCACCCATGCCAGAGGAATACTTGTTGGATGTGCTGAGGCTGGAAAAACAACGCTACTGAAGAGATTAAGAGGACAACATCAAAATATCGGTGAAGTTACAGAGTCCACCAGGGGACTGGAAGTCCATCAACATCTTTTCATTGTTAAAGATGGGATTTTAGAAGGTAACTGATACACATACACAGGATATATAGACATATTTTGCTTTTTTACAGATTTTAGATTTTTAGTCTTTGGAGCTGAGCCAAAGACCTAAAGAAAACATACTCTGCCACCGTAGACATTTGAGATATGTGATTTTTTCAATGCAGTTTACATAATATTTGCAAAATTTGAAGTGTACGATGGTGGCAGACACTATTTCTTAAAGCAGAATAAGCACAGAAATAGGTTTTAACATGTTTAAGGAGCCTTTCTATATTAAAATTAAAAATATGTATAACAGTAGTTTGATCCAAAGAGCCGCATAACTATCATGTCTCATTGACAGGCGCAGATCATCAGATCAAACTTGACATTTCTCATCTTGTTTGATCTAATGATCTGCTTCTGTCAACTCAATGAATGATATACCACTCTTCGGATCAAGTTACTGTTATAATGATACAAAAGTACCACTCTATATTCAATGTTATTTATTATGCCCCTTTTGAAGAAGGGAATGCATATTGCTTTGCTGCTGTCTGTTGGTCTGTCTGTCCACGTTAGTTTCCATTCATTTTATTCGCAACCCTTGCACATATTGAAATGAAATTTGATATACAGATATATCACATAAATCTAGGTCAAGTTCTGTTTTTTCCATGCCCCTTCTTAAAGAATTTTTATTCAGTTTCCAACCCTTGCACATGAAATTTGAAATGAAATTTGATCGCACCATTTTTGACAGAGTGATGCCCTTTTGGACTTGGTAAAATTCCAATTTGGGGGGAGGGGGCATAGGTGTTTTCCAAACATCTCTTGTTTAAAAAAATATCATATTCATTAAAAAATGGTTAATATAAAAATATATCTGTGATAAATTTTAATGTTAAAATAAGTATTTCTAGAGTACATGAACTTAGAATGTAAGATGATTAAATTATTTACATGTACTAACAGTAGCTGATGACGATTCACCATTGAAGACGTTTATCAGGATAAATGCTGCGGACCTGAAGCCAAAAATTAGCGGTGAAGTTGACATTTCCAATCCAAATGAAAATAGAGACAATTCCAAACTGAAAAAAACTGATAAAGAGAAGCAAATCTATAGCCGAGAAGAAGAGAAAGTTGAGTTGCCTAGCCCACCAACTGAAGTCAAAGAAGAAGTCAATACAGTAGAGGTTATGGCCAGTGTTCTCTCCTCAGAGGCACAGAAAATGGTTAAGGATGAAATTTTTCAGAAAATCTTGTCTGAAAAAGAGAATTTACCAACTGTCAGCATGCTGGATTTTGCTGGTCAGTTAGCATATTATGCCTGTCACCAAATTTACGTTACACCAAAGGCCTTCTTTATCCTTGTGTTGGACATGACAAAGAAGTTTGAAGATGTTGTCGATAGGGAGAAAGATAATCAAGAAGGATCAATCTTCTCTGTGTGGACTTACAAAGGTAAGGCATTATGTTGTGATCTAAAAGTTTTGTCTGTGAGGCTTACACTCATCAAGATAAAAAAAAATATGCTGTATTAGGCATTCAAGCTTCCCCAAAAAATGTAAGAGAAAATAAAAAAATTACAGAAAGTTTAAAGGTGGGCTAAGGGGGTGGGAAGGGGGAGGGGGCTTCATTATGGCCATTAAGCATCTATTTTTCTGACTGTTAACTTCACATTATTTGCAATATCTAAAGGGCCAGTAGACAAGTTTCAATTAAACTTTTTACAAATTGTGGTGGGTAACTGAAGGACTAAGCCATCTTCTAAAGGAGAAAGATAATTAAAAATAAATGATCAATTAATGGCATTCAAAAAATGTTCTAAGAACCATTCAGAGTCAAAGAGGTTTAATCAGAAGCATCCTCTCATAGTGAAGATCCAAGTTTGTTCAAATAAAGTACCCTGAGAGAAAAGAAGGACCACTATGGGCCAAAATAATTTAACAGCAAAATACAGGATAAATTAATAAAAATCCCTCTGTCTAGAACAGCTTGCATACTTAAGCTTTGATAAGTTTAATATAATAATTATGAGATTGCCTGATGGTTTGTTACATAGATATACTATTTGCTACTGACATTATACACAGTAGTTAATTGTTGAATATAATTATGTAAGACTTAGTGATTTTTAAATTCAATTTCATAGGCAGTTTAATTTTCATTATTTACCCATGAAACATTTAGCAATTACATAAAATTAAAAATCTCATGTGTGTTTTTACATAATTATTGAGCGTTTTTGCATTTTTGTTTAAAGACAAGGCCTGTTCCTCATGTTCCTGTTCACTGTTGTAAGTACAAAAGAAGTATAAGTAATCGTCAATGATGTTTGTCTGTCTGTTTTGTCCTATTACGATGCCCTATTTCTATTTCAGACTACCTGAAGTTTTGGATAACTTCAATCAAGACTTTTGGAGGCACTAAGGCACCAATGTTTATTATTGTCACACACTCAGAAAGAACATCTACTGATGTAAGTATTTGAAATGAAATGTAAATATTTCATACTAAATGTAAATTATAAGAATGAAGTTATTGCTTAAAAAATCAAGGGAATAACAAATAAATTTATTTTTTTCCCTGTTTTAAATTTATGCAGAACAATCTCTTTTGCTCATCTAAGCCAAAGACTCAATTGAGCTTATCTGACTAAATTTGTTTCTCGTCTTTTTAGCTCACCTGAGCCAAAGGCCCAAGTGAGCTTTTCTGACCACATTTTGTCTGTCGTCCATCAGTCTGTAAACTTTTCACATTTTCAACTTCTTCTAAAGAACCACTAGGCCAATTTTAACCAAACTTGGTCTAAGGGACTCCTGCGTAATGGGGAGTTTAAATTGTGAAAATAAAGGGCCATGTCCCCTTCAAAGGGGAGATAATCAAGGAAAGACAAAAAAAGGGTTGGGGGGTTCATTAAAAAATCTTCTCAAGAAACCAGTGGGCCAGGAAAGCTTAAACGTATATGGAAGCATCCTGGGATAGTGTAGAATCTAAATTGTTCAAATCATGATGTCCAGGGGTAGGGCGAGGCCACAATAGGGAATCCAAGTTTTATATATAGGAAAAATCTTTAAAATCTTCTTCTCAAGAATCATTGGGTCAGAAAAGCTGAAACTTATGTGGAAGCATCCTAGTGTAGTGTAGATTCTAAGTTATTAAACTCATGACCCCCGGGGTTAGGGCGGGTCCACAATAGGGAATCCAAGTTTTACATAGAAATATATAGGAAAAACCTTTAAAAGTCTTTTTCACAAGAACCATTGAGTCAGAAAAGCTGAAACATATGTGGAAGCATCCTGAGGTAGTGTAGAATTTTAATTATTCAAATCATAACCCCCAGGCATATTAGGGCGAGGCCTCAATAGGGAATACAAGTTTTTATATAGAAATATATTGGAAAAGATCTTTTTAAGAAGCAGTGGGCCAGACAAGTTGAAACTAAGGTGAAAGTATCCTGGGGTAGTGTAGATTTTAAATTATTAAAATCAAGATGGGGATTGGGGAGGGGGGATAATGGGCAACACTAGATTTAAGAAGAGGAAAACTCTGGTAAAGAACTGCATCACAAAAGTTATTAATTTAAGTGATGTGGCCATTGGCCCCCTTGTTTTGCTTACCTGAGCCAAATGCTCACGCGAGCTTTTCATGTTCAAACTTTGTCCGTTGTTTGTTGTCGTCGGCTTTGCCTTTGTCAGAGTAAACTGTTCAAATTCTCAACAACCGGTGGATCAATATCAACCAAATTTGCCGCAAAGTATCCTTAGGTAAAGGGAAATCAAGATTATTCAAATGAAGGGCCACATCCTCTTCCAATGGTAGAAAATTATGAATTGGTGAAATATACATGGCATCTTTTAAAGATTTCCTTCTCAAGAACCAAAGGGCCAGGACAGATTAAACTGGTGGAAGCATCCCTAGGTAGTATATATTCAAGTTTGTTCAAATCATGACCCCAGGTGTAGGGTTAGGCCACAAAAGGGGGTCAAATTTTAACGTAGGAATAAGTAGGATTTTTTTTTAAATCATCTATTTAAGAACAACTGAATCAGGAAAGATGAATCTCAAGTGAAAGCATCCTTTGGCAGAGTTGGCGAAAGAGGTAAAAAATCTGTTGGACACAGTGTCCTACAGATTGTCTAAAAATCACAAAAAACTACAAATGTAAAAACAACAAAATGTAAGATTGAAATTGATTTGTGATTGAAGGAACTCTTTCTCGGTGGAGGAAGAAAATGTCTGTTGGATGGGAACAATGTGCTAGGGCCTAGTAAAGAAAACGCAAAATGGATCATTTTGAAGCTTATAAAGAAATTTTAGAAATAAATCTTGTTGAAATTTCTTGCTAAACATTCGCTGAATGACGGTAGCTAGTCTTCAGATGATACATTTTTGAAGATAATTTTCACTAAACTCATTAATTTTTATTGAAAATCGTAACTTTTGAAAGCTAATAAAATATATAAACTTTCCTTATTTGACAATCGATTATCTAGAGTTCAACCCATGGCAATACATTGTAACAATGGCATAATGATTGTTCAAGTCATTTGATTGTCACTACTGTAAACAATGTTATGCTTGAGAAAATCGCGTGAGATTTGTTTTGCTTACCTGAGCCAAATGCTTTTCATGTTCAAAAGAGCGGTAGTAAGTTTGATAACTGCCAGGCCAGGTACTCGCCATTCTACTTTGTATTGCAATACTAAAAGGTGTAAAACTCTTTCAGTTTCAATTTCACGAAGTTTTGAAAAAAAGTGCATTATCTAATTTCTTTTACTGTAGTTTACTATTGATTATTCAATTTCTATCATGGACACGGTATCACGGCGTAATTTTAGAAATAAGTACAAATTTTTTTTAAAAATCTATTCGCAACTGAACGGAAAGATGAATCTCAAGTCTGTCGTTTGGTAATGTAGCGAAAGATTAAAAAATTTGTTCAAATCATGACACCTGGTGGTAAGGTTGTGCACAAAATTGGGTATCAAATTAAAAACAACAAAATGTAGCAAAATGATTTGTATCAACAACTGGGCCAGGAAAGATGAAACTCAAGTGGAAACATTATCTGGTAGTGTACACATGTATATTCAAGTTTTTTTTTAGATATTGTTCACCTGATTAATTTTTCACTCAAGTGACCTATTGCTATAAAATACTATAAACTTTCATCCATTTGACGACATGCGGTGTGCGTTACAATGGCAACATTTGAACATTTTCACTACTTAAACTTCTCTGAAACCACTCAAACAATTTCAACCAATTTTGGCATAAAGCATTTATGGGTGAAGGGGAACAAAAACTATGAATTGCATGGTCCCTGGGGCCTGAGGGGTGCGGCCAAAACCAGTAAAATTGATGCAATCTTTAAAAATCTTCTTTACTCCGGGACATCAAGCAGTCACTGTTTGCATGATTGTTATCAGCATTGAGTCCTCTACCAAAATTGTGAAATTCATGGCCTCAGGGTCAGGGGTTCTAGTGCTAGGGTGCGGCTTTATAGATAATATAGTGAAAATGCATTATTTCTTTAAAAATCTTCTGCTCTGCTCCTGGGTATTTAATTAACAAACCAAGTACATACTTTTGTTGAACTAGGCTCCTTCTTTCAAAATTGTGAATTTTATGGCCCCAGGGTCAAGGTTCTGGTGTTAAGGCGGGGCTCTATTGATTATATAGTGAAAATGCATTAATTCTTTGAAAATCTTCTTCTATGCGACTGGGTATTAAATAAACTGAGTACAAAGATATAGTTGGCAGGAGTGCCTCTTCCAAAATTGTGAAATTCATGACCCTATTGAATATATGGGGATAGGGGTAAATCTAGTGCTAGTGTGTATTCCAAAATTGTGTGGCCCCAGGGTCATGGGCTCTATTGATTATATAGTGAAAATGCATTAATTCTTTGAAAATCTTCTTCTCTGCTCCTAGATATTTAATAAACTAACTAAGCACATACAGTATAACTGGTAATTTTTTCTGCTGTAAATTTTTAATGATTTGGTTAAAAAAGGGTTATTTAAATTTTTATGCGTTATTTTTTTTATGAATTGAACATGTCTGTAAAAATTAAAATCATCTGATGTCAAATTGCGTTAACATACAAATAATTTCTCCAAAAACCTGATATAAGAGAGAGAGAAAGAGAGAGAGAGATTTATTAAATTATAACAATTTAAACAATGTTACAAATTACATTATGTATATTTTTTATCATTTACCTTTATATACATGAACAACGCATCCTTCATGTATTCAGGTTTTATAAAACACATAGCTAGGCACACCACGTGCATGTGGTATTTACCGAAAACAAAGAAAGACAACACAAACTATCATAATTGAAGTGAAAGTATACATGTACAGTGTATTCATTAAGAAGTCAAAGTTTTATTCAAAGCAAATGAAATAGAAGAAAGTGTCAAAGATTAAAAACACGGGTATAATTTGAAGACCTGTAATTATTTCTTAATTATCAGAAGTTATGCGTCTCATAAAAATACTAAAAAAAACAGTAACAGGGTATGTCTAACTGATTAATTAATTGACGATGTTTGTACAATTTTTACAAGTTAATTAAGATTTACCTTTATGATTCTATTTGATGATTGACTTAAATTGCTCAAAATACCAACAGTACTAATTAATATATAGTTTCCAGGGAGTGAGCTTAATTGCAGTTAGCATTACTTTTACACATACGATGTTGAAAATTAACACGAGCCGTTTGATGAATTATGTGAAATTTTACCCGTTTAAATTTAATGGATTTATAAAACTCATAAAAATTAGTAAATATTAGCAGCACTTAAAAAATTCCCCTAATACAGTAGTTATGATAGGGAAGAGTGCCTTGAATTGTGGATTTCATGACCCCCAGGGTTTGGTGGTAGGACAGGGCTCTAAATGATTATATAGTGAAAGTAAATTAAATCTTTGAAAATTTTCTTCTCTACTCCCCTGGGTATTAAGCAAATAAACTAACTATATAGTTATGATGAGCAAGGGCCCTTTCTCCAGAATTTTGAATTTCAAGGTCCCAGGGACAGGGGTATCTGGGGGGGGGGGGCTACTTACATACCGAACATAATTAATTGTTTGAAATCTGCTCCTTTGTACTAATCAAACTTTATTTTTATGCCCCACCATGAATGTGCAGGGGCATATAGTGTTTGTCATGTCTACAAGATTTGCTTCGGATGTTGGATCTGACCTATATTTTCCAGATGAGTGACCAGGTAAAAGTTTTTTTGGAGCAGGTCGATTTCCAAGGAACTATAAACCCTACCCAAACCAAACTTGCACGGATGATGCATCTAGGGATGAACACTACCAGACTTGCTTCGGATGCTGGATCTGACCTACATTTTCCAGATGAGTGACTATGTGAAAGTTTTTGGAGCAAGTCCATTCCTAAGGAATTTAAGCCCTCCTTTGACCAAACTTCATGGATGAGGCATCTAGAGATGGACACTACCAGACTTGCTTCGAAATGCTGGATCTGACCTACAT